TAATTTAACCTAGGTTAGTAACGTCTGCTGAGCAGTGCAGATATCCCTGTTCTACCCCCCGCTTCTCAGAGGCTTCTTTGTATAAACCTGGCGTAGTCAATCGAACTCAATCTAACCCGATCGGTTGGATTGTTTTTCGATTGCGAACCGCAGACGTACATACTTAGCCTTGTTTTATTAAAACATACTAGAGTCTGTTAAACACGCTGATAACGATGACCGAACTTACTTTTTGCAGTGAAGCTAGCCAGTCCATGTAGTATAGTTCTGGGCCACTGGTATCGTCATAACCAGCTATCAGCATATTGACTTGGTATGCAGACTGTTAAAATGTTAAAAAGAATAATAAATTCATTCTTGGTAATGTTTAACGTATACAAAGTAGGTATTTAATCTGTTTGCAATTGTGGGTGAATCAGAATTTTTTAAATCTCTGTGGGAAATTAAAATTGATTTGAAAAATTGGATAGTTTGAGAACTCACAGGTAAAATTACAGTGTTTGACTGAGGAGAGGAAAACAACTGTTTGTTACAGTTAACAGAAGGTTGGAAAATCAGGGTTTTGAGAAACTAGTATTTGGAATAATTTGCAGGGCTTGAAATTAACTTTTTCGTTCAGGAGCCAACTGGCAACTAACAGAAAAATTTTGCTCACCAGATCATAAATTTTGGTCGCCAACTTATATTATAATTATATAACTCACACAAGAACAGGATTTTATATGTTACTTTGCAAGCAAGAAAAGTCACAATCAAAGAGCGAAAACAATTAGAAACAACAGGAGTAACACTTAGTTGTAAAGCTAACGTTGTTCTCAGGTGATATGTCTCTGGTCCGAAGGAGATGGTTGTCTCCATAGTCATTTTAAATGAAGCGAAGCATAAAACATGTTAAGTCCGTGGTCTTTATTGTGAGACAAACACAGGTCCTTGCATATTTGCGTATTTTATTCAACAACTGATGAAGGATTCAAAGTTTGGATTAACCTTTTAGCTGAATCTTCATTCCCCACACATAAAAACTCACGTAATTCCTTCAACTAATTGGTATCTGCCGCCATTTTCGTGGCAAATGAAAAGTACATGGTGTTGAAGCGTGCCTGCAATCCTAGTTTCGGAAGAAGCCACTGAAACAATATGGCGTGCCATGAACGCAGTATCGACGTGTCGAAATACATTCAATTTTTTCAATTGTCTTGTAATATTGAGACACTATTTTACTGGGGACGGAAAGGTGAGTTGTATACTAGCTACCATATCCGATTGATTTCCTAATATAAAGATTTAAAAACAAAATTTGTGTTGTGGTTTTCTTTAGTTATCGGACAAAACGCGAGTTGCCAGCTGGCAACCAGTTCTGAAAATTTAGTCGCCAGTGCTCAATTTTTAGTCGCATTGGCGACCAGTGAGTCGCAATTTCAAGCCCTGATTTGATTTTCTCAAAAACTAATAAGTACTTACTGAACTGCGAAGAGCATCAGCCAAGTTTCTTCTTGTGAAATTAGCAGCAGCATGAGGGGTAAGTTCATATCCTAAGATTTTNTGACAGGCATTCCATATCAGATGACATGGGCTAGTCTGAAAAAAGCGGCACCCACAGGCTGATGTGTGGTGAACATAATCCTTATCCTAAATCCTAATACAATTGTACGTAAGAATTATGAGATAATAATAATGAGACAAAATTTTACGAAATAATTGAAAATTATAAAATAGATGGCTGACTTTGTAAAAAAAGTCACTGAAATTGAAATAAACCTTGCTCTAGGCACAAGTTTACTTGACTTAACTTTACCTATTCTTCATAAAGGGCAAAATACTGATTATTTTTTACATCATGCCAAAGTGAAAACATCTGGTTAAGTGTAATCAAAGGAATACATCATAAAACTAACCAACAAGCATTCTTAATCCAAAAAGCGGCAAACGTCACGAAACAAAAGCAGTCAGGGAAAGTACTGAGTCATGATAACTGCACTGCCTCATGGCAGCCTTGCCGTCAATACCGTTTGTTTATACATGAAAACAAAAACTGCAGCAATCTTTAACTGAATGCTATGGGCAGTGGGAAAACCTTACCATCTTTCATGCGAACAATACTCCTCCCGCTTGCAGAATCGCTAGCCACTAGGACAAAATCAGGACCTTGAATTCCTATCAAACACTCCATTTTGTTCAAGTTTCTACGATGACTTAGCGACCAAGCCGTAAATCGCAGGCTTCTGTATTCAGCGGATTATCTATCAGTGGCATGCGTATTCGTTCATTTGGAAGGAAAACAAAATGGCGGACGGAGACGGTGTTGCTAGTATGGTATGAAAAATATTAGCCAAGCTGGCTTCAACTTGTTTATGGCGATATGAATACCATAAAACTCAACCGCAGAGTTTTCATTGTAGTCTTGTCTGTTTGCGTCTTTATTGCATTTCTGTGGATAAAATCTCGTCGTGTCGGGCTCGTCCAACAAGCAACCTTTGATCCATCTAGTTTCCGGGATCGTCTCGACTACTTGAACAGAAATAGAGAAAATGCAAACTTACACGGAAGACTAAACACCCAGCAGAATACTGAAGAAACAGTCGCAGCTGTACTTGTAATCGCTTGTAACAGACCTGAAGTAGAAAGATGCCTGGACAGTTTACTGAGACATCGCCCTTCGGAAAAGAAGTTCCCTGTAATTGTCAGCCAAGATTGCGGGCATGAAGAAACAGCTCAAGTTATCAACAATTACAGGGACAAACTTATGTATATAAAACATCCTGATTTATCCGACATCGCCGTCCCTGAAGCTATGGGTCATTTAAAAGGTTATTACAAACTGTCGAGACATTATAAATGGGCTTTGTCGCAAGTTTTCGACGTGCTGCAGCAAGACACTGTTATTATAGTCGAAGATGACCTCGAGGTGGCTCCCGATTTCTTTGAATACTTTGAAGCTACTAAGGGGTTGTTAGAAAAAGACCCCACCCTTTGGTGTGTGTCAGCGTGGAATGATAATGGTAAAGAAGGAAAAGTAAGGGGTAATGATTTGCTTTATCGCAGTGACTTCTTTCCGGGGCTCGGGTGGATGCTTAAAAAATCTGTTTGGGATGAGCTTGCTCCAAAGTGGCCGGCAGCGTACTGGGATGACTGGATGCGACATCCAGCACAGAGGCGTGACCGTGCATGCATACGACCAGAAATCCCACGTGCAGTCACATTTGGAAAAATAGGTGTCAGCCGAGGACAGTTCTTTGATGAGCATCTCAAATACATTATGCTGAACAATCAGTTTTATCCTTTTACTCAAAGAAACTTGACATTTCTTCTCAAAGAGGAATATGATCCAAGGTTTTTTAATACTGTGTACAAATCACCTTTGGTTTCATTTGACTACTTTCATTCTGGTAAGGTGATACCTGCACCTTCCGTAAGGGTCCAGTATGAGACAGATGAGGTTTTTAAGTCTTTAGCAAATCAGCTGGGAATAATGAGTGACATTAAAGCTGGAGTACCAAGAATGGCATATAAAGGTGTAGTCAGCTTTATCTACAGAGGTTTGCGGGTTTATTTAGCACCACCCAGGCACTGGAGGGGGTATGAATTCCATGAATGATAGAAATTTTGGCAGTGCCCTTGAACGTGTAGGCTTAAAGGCAAGGCTATAGCTAGTAACGGGCAAACCAAGACACTTACCGCAGTCATTTTTTTCCCATTTGTATTTTATAGTTCTCATAATCACCCTGAATATCAAGGAAAAGAATTTAATCATGGACATAAGCTCAGTCAAACAAAATTACTTTTTCATGGACATTGTCTCAGTCACAAATTTTTTTCTGGCTAGAGCCTTGTAAGGATCTATGCCATATACACTTCATATACTTTTGTGTTGTGTGAAAGTAACTTTAGACTGAAACAAAGGTCAAGGATCGTCCAAACTGGGAACAATTTAAATGAAACAAACATGAATATTAAAAAATTTGGGGTCAAAATTTCAATGTCCACAGCTCTTATACCATAATTACTATTTTTATGTGTACAAAATCATACATTCATTGCAGCAATATGCACTTTGTTACAAATACCATTATAGTGGAATTCTGATTTCTTGAAACTCATTTTTTTTTAGCCTTTTAATAGCACAAACCACAGTCATTTCCCATTTCCCTCCCTTAGTCGTTCAAAAAATCACTATTCCACTGTCTGTAGTTCAACTCATGAGCTTTTTACCTACACCTAAGCTGCCATGGGCAATATTGGAGATGTCTAAAGTGAACATTTTTCATGGAGTACACACTGAAGAGAAAGTTAATCAAGTCCCAAGAGCCATTAGACGTGAGGGCTTTGGGGCATTCCCCCTTAAGAAATTTTTAATATTAGCAGCTTTGAAAATCCATTTTCCATGTTATCCAGGGAACAGTTTCATAAATCTACACATGGACAAACATGAAGTATTTAGTAACTTCTGTTATTTACTTGTCAACCTTTGGGATGATAGTAGGATCAAGGGGAAAGGCTAGAGAGTGTCAAACCAGTCAATTTAATTGTTAAAATCACTTTTCCCTTATAAATATATATATATCTATCTTTTCTAGATTTACAGAGGTGTTCATTATACCCCTGAAAAGTGCTGGCATGATATATTTCAAAATTAATATTGCAAGTGTGCAAGGAATATTGTTTATGTAAACACAGTCTGGTGGCAGATGAGACAGACTAAGAGATGAAGACATTTAAAATAGATTGAATTATTTAATTACTTCTAAAGAGTAAATTTATTATCATAATTAAATCTTAATCCTGATAAAAAAAATAGCCATTACTGTTTTAGGCAATAAAATTATTGTATTTTTCAAACCTGTGAAACTGACATATATTTACATTTAACAGGTTTTGTACGCTGTATTCAGTGCCATTTTAACCTTGTATTTTCAAATAAAAAGTACATATGCCTGGTCATGGGAGTCAACATGAGGTGTTACTGAACTCAGTCACTACTGTATGTAAGAGGATCTCCTGATTTTCACCACAGCAAAATACCACATGAACCATCCTTGACTTTATTTTTCACTGTAATAGTCCTGTCATTCATGTAATAATCTAATCAAGATTTGAGTTTTGAATTGGCAAGTTGTGTCGTTTTGTTAAGCTGTTCATTTCAAAAGAAGAAGAATAATGAAAATGAAAACATCAAAATTGTATTTGTCATTGGCTGAAAATGCTTCACCAGCTCAGACATAATACATCAAACTCAAGAGCTGAGGTAAATGTTAATCAAATCTTTAATCACTACCAAGACAGCTAGCTCAAGATACATGATGTGAAGTAATTCTGACGGAAAATGAATCATTTGGAAATGTTGTGAAACCCATCTTGAATGTTTCATATACAATAATTTGTAAAAACAAATCTGCTAATTAAGATCACATACTGAACAACTCACTGTCACCTTTTTTTTGTTTCCTTTGTTTCACTTGAATTATTAATTCATTACTAAAAGACTTTGAGTACAAAACGTTCCCCACTTAATGGTAACGAGAAACTCGTTGTTAACGCTTGGTGCTAAAAGCTCAAAAAAATTTTTTTCTCATCAAAGGGGTGGAAATATTAGACTATCCCCTTCCCCACTTGTATTGAAACAAGAAAAGAACAAATTTAGTGTTTGCATCCACCTCACATTCTTTTGAGCACCTCTTGATTTGTTTCTAGAATGGTAAGAGTCGTGTGAGTGAACGATTTTTATCTAAAAATAAAGTTCTGTAAAACGTAAATGGTAAATTATTAGCTTTTTACACCTTTTGCTGTTCATTCACAGAAAATAAACATTCATTTGTGTCCAAATTTCTTTCTTTATGGTCAATAAACTCTCATTAACACCAATATGACCTTCATTTGCGCGTAAGGAACGTTCAAGAATAACATTTACATATGCATTAACATTCAAAATCATCAAAAGAAAAACAATACCTTCATTTGACATTCATTGACTGATAAGGTATTTTCATTTTGGTCGAAAAAAAATTCGTTGTCGCGAAACGACAATCATTTACACTTTAGGACATAGCATATTTTCTGTAATTTGCAATTCGGAATTTACATTAGTGACAGGAGTAAACTGGTATGATCTTGCCGTGCTAGAATTGTAAGTAGTGCAAGTAATCTAATTATGCTGTATTGTAAGCAGTGTAAGTATTAGTATCGTTAGTAGTGTGAGTATGCATATTAGAGTAAGAGTTAGTATCGTAAGTGGCGTAAGTAATAAGTTTTTTGTAAGTAGTGTTAGTAACTACATTAATATTGTATTGTAAGCAGTGTAAGTAGCAATTAATTAAAAAAAAAGTACAGCAGTGCTTCTCATATCTCAGTATTCTAAGTACAGTTCTAGGCGGTTAGCCTTGGTACTTTAGTACACGAACTGTGGCCAGTGATAATTTGGATAACAAGAAAACAACAAAAACAGCAGCAGTCAGTGTGTGACCAAATGAATAGTTTGTATTACCAGTGATCAATACTTAACCAGCTTGTGCGGGGATCAGTGTTGTTATTCAGTTAAATTGAATAAATCAGTGAATGCTGAAGAAGTATGCACAGTGCAGTGATCAGTGTTTATAAATCGTTAGTACAGTTATCATGTGTTACTAAGGGAAAAAATTGACAAACTGTACCCATAATGCCCACCATATGAAACAGGATCTTGGTACCTCTTAGGTACAACAAAGGTGACTTGGTCTTGTCACAAGCAAGGCTACATACACTATAGAATACGATTACCGAAACAACATATATGTACATATGCTATAACAGGCGACGAACTGATAAACTGCAGATTTGACTTGGCATTTTACTACTATTTAGTTTCATACTACACAACTTGTGTGCAGCACTCATCAGATAAAATGGCCAAATACATATACATGATTAAACAATGAATAAATTGTTTCACTTATCCTAAGAGTGCTCTATACAAGATATGTGGAGCATAATACAAATAAAAAACAAATATTTATATCTGTATTTATGCTATAAAATAGGATGCAGTGTATGGTTAGCCAAATGTTGCAAAATTCAACAACTTGCACATTCATATTCAACAACTTATATTTATGTTCAGCAAGATATATGTATATTCAACATTTTATATTCATATTCAACTATATGCATTTTCTTTCAACTTCAACCAAAATTCTTTTCATTCAACAAAAATATTTGTTCAACTTCAACCAAAAATAATTTCATTCAACAACAATTGTTCAACTTCAACCAAATTATTTTCATTCAACAAAAATAATTATTCAGCTTCTACCAAAATTATTTTCATTCAACAATATTTGTTCAACTTCACTAAAATTATTTTTATTCTACAATAATAATTATTCAACTTCTACCATGCATAGTGATTTAATAACATACCTCCTTTTATGACAAAGGTTTTGAAAGTTCCCAGACATTCAAAATATTGTCATTCAACAAAATTCCCCGTCCGGTCCCTAGTTAAAGACACTATGTTATGGATCCAGTCCTCCGATCACAACATTCATGAAATAAAGATGGCGTCGGAAGATGGAACAGCCATACAGGGCGTGAGGAAGAACTGACACAAATTGTGAGAGAACGTGTTTGAAATGGGATTGCTCTTCAACGGTCGCAAAGTAATACCTTGTTGTTAATGAGAACTTGCGACCTTATATTACTTATTTCTTTTCCATGCAATGGAAACCAGCAGAACATATTTTGCATTGTTGGTTTACTATTTGTAAAGGACCAGCTGGAAGAATTGATTGTGCGACAGAGTTACCTCACTTGTGACATCTTACAGCTGCATTTTGTATCAAATTTTACCCCGATTCTGATCACATTATGATCTCTACGACTTCTTTTGAATGCTCTTTTAGAGAGCATTGCAAGAAAGAGTGTGGTGTATCTGGTTGGTGCAAACACCAGGTAGTACTTATACCATTAAAAACCTGCTCAAAGATGTTTCTGATCATTTGAACGGCTGTTATAAAACCACATCCTAGGATGTTGAAGTGGAATGGAAACTTTGCCTACATAGATTTGGTTTGCTTGATGAAGCAGGAGATTCTCCTACAATTTGCCTCCTTCATGATTCCCTTGTCAAACGGCACTTGCATGAAATGTGTACATTTAGCAGCTGCATTTACTAGAACCGATTGGGAACGTTGGTGCTATGGATAAAGCAAATGAAGCAATTAATGCACAGAATCACTGGAGTTGACTTTTTAATTGTTCTTTACGGTATACAAGTATATTGCAATACATCCATAACATACAAGTATAACTTCTCAATTTTCTTTATTATGTTAACTCTGATCTTTAAAATTACAATTTAACTTTGAACCTCGTGTACTTAAGTCTCGTTTTTTCGGAGCATTATCTCAGCATCAGGGAATTTGAGGGGGGATACAAATTAGGCTAACACAAAGCAGTTTACAAATTCTTAGTACATCTTTGAAGCCTTTTTGGGACTCAATCCAAGCAAGCAGTCTTCCAAAAGTTGAAAGACTAACTTTTGAGAACCTTTGTACTCAATGTTAAAGCTGTAATAAGCCCCAAGGAGGGTTAATACAGCTGTGAAATAGTCCAGTGTGGGAAGCTCTGAAAAAAATTCTTTATCTACAACGATAAAGAATTGCATCTTGTTGTTATCATTGTGTACAAAAAGAGCCATGGCTGGTTGGTTTTGGGAGACTGGCCACACTTTCCTTTCACAAACTTCCCAACATCTCCCCCATCTTGTAAACAACACGCAATTTGCAACATAATTAAAATAGATTTATAAAGGATCTTTCATGACACTGTCCATATTCTGTGCTTCCCAAACTGTGGGTCTGCACTAGAGAAATGGGGAGGAGAAAGTTGAGCAGCTTTTCAAATGCAATGGCTATGTTTCAAAGGCTGTTTCAAACTTGCTCCTTAAAATGGGAAGGAAAAAGGCAAAACATTGAGATATGGCATTTGAAATGAGGTTGCCAAGGTAGAGATAATGTATTTTTTTGTTTTAATCTGTCATTATGGGTGGAACCTAGTAGAGCTCAGAGAAGTTGTATATTTTGTCTCAAATTGTGTAGTGCGCAAAAGAGAATGCTAATCGAGCAAAGACTGAGCTATTATAATATACATACATTAAGCTTAAGTACAACTGTAACTCTCTAAACTAAATGATTGCATATGTTGGCATACTTGGCATTTAGATAGAGCAAGAAAAACAGAAATAATATTTTAATATCAGATGTGTTCTGCATCCAAATGCATTCATACACAATACATTCATTCACTAAGGTTAATTCCCATCTGAAGTAAACGTCACATATTGCCCTTTTTGGATTTTGTCACGTTTCAGTATTTTCTTTGCAATTCAGGTTTTGCTGTCTTGAAGAAAATAGATAGTGTAAACCTCATTTAATTAACACTTGGCCAAAATGAAGGTGTCAAACTTGTTCAATTTTATCCTTGTTTCAAATTTGGTTTGCTTTGGTGTTTTTGGTTTAGTACCGTATGATAATGAGTTCAAAATGAAAGAGGATAAAATTTAAACAAAGGATAAAGTTGAACCTAAGCAAATCCACCCTTCATCACTTCATTGTACATGCACTGTCCAGATTCTCAGTTTCACAAAGATTGGTTACACAGCATTTGTTATTACTTAATTTAGGCATTGTGGCTAACCTTAATCAATTCCGCTTGTATTTTGGGTTTTGTGCCTTGCCATCTTTGTCTCCAGACAGATACTGCAGAATTGCTGTAGAGCTCCAGCTCATTTATAATCTGTTAATCGAATGTGTATTGCAAAGTTTGAAAATAGTCATTGTTTAAACTCAAAAGATGCGAGTAGGGTTAGTTGTGAATTCTGACATAACAGGGTACTTAATATTTTGAGTCTGTTTATTCTTTAATTTGAGTGATTCAGACCTGCCAACCTTTCTGGTTTTGCTGGTTATTTGTCCTTTCTCATGGTCTCCAGACGAAGACCTGAAATCTCCCAGTTTTCCTGAAAAAACCCCAGACTGATATCAATTATGAAATGAAGCCTTTAAAGGTTTGTTTTATTCTAAATCTAAAGTGCATAGAACATTTACAGTTTTCCTTCCAACGGGCAAATTGGCTTGTTGTCAAGGTAACCAGGATCTGGGTACAAGACTAGCTGGTTGTGCCTTCCCACCATGCTTTTGTGCATGAGATAATTTGGTCCCTTAACTTGGGATAGATGTCGATAAAGATGCCACTTATTCAGCTGGAAGTTCAGATGAATCCAAACTGGAAAGTTACTGTTTGTAACTCAAGAGTTGTGCAGCAGTGCTAATAATTAACCTCCAGCTACGTATAGATCAAAATATTTCAGCCAGGTTATCCTTTTAGCAAAATATCCAGGTTTTTTTTATCAATATCAAGATCACATATGCAGTTTTTTCACTCGTAGAGGAATGGCAGGTCTGAGTGATTTACAAATAACATTGTTAATGTATGTTAATCCTGATAAAAACTTTAATCTTTGGCTCAGAACTGTGTCAGCTGACGTTAATACTTCACTCAAGGGCACTGGTTAAAGTGCACCTAGCCCCAAAAAGATTTTTCATGAAACAAAATAAGCGTATTTTTAAGAGTATTCCTGTGCAAAAATTTTTTGGTTTGCTCAAATCCTTGATTTTCTGGGCCCAGTTAAAATACAGAAAATCGTACTAAAAAGACTGCCATCTTGGCTCACAACCGAGTTTAAAGAGGAATGGGTCTAGTGGCTAATGTGATGTCAAATCACACTTATAATACAACTCAATTTAGGGTAGTATACCATGGTACAGATGAGGATATGAGACCCAATATGCATTCATTTATACCATCTACATGTAAGACTGTTAACTCAAATATGAAGTAGGCAGTAAGGGTTATTATTATAATAATTATTATTATTATTATTATTATTGTTGACATTATTGTTAGTAGTATTATCATCATTATTATTATTACTGATTTATTCTTTCCGTAGTTAAGTTCTTTTCCTGAAATAATTTTAATATGAATTTTAATTACCTCTCGTATGTGCCTGGATGGCTCAAGCAGTTTCTCCTCTCTCAGGCACGTGTCTCCAAAATGTACAGTGCTTTGGAAAACCCTTTCACCTCTGAGGGTAAGATTTTTGGTCTAGTTTTTGGAGAATAATTATACCAGATCCACTTCCACTTAAATGTGCTCCATTGAAGTTAGTTATTACTAACTGCCAAGGTGTGTCTTGGTAATGTTACTAAGAAATGCTGTAAAATAAATTGAGTGAGGTTATTTGTAAATTTTTGCTCTGACAAAATACTGGGCCTGAAGGTGAGGTGCATAATAATGCAGTTGATTCTGAGTTCTCATGCAAATTGTGTTTTTGAAAGTCTTTTGTTGAAAACTGATTGTCCTAAAGTGTAAATGATTGTCATTTCATGACAACGAATTTTATTTCAACCAAAATGAAAATACATTTACAGTCAATGAATGTCAAATGAAGGTATTGTTTATCTTTTGATGATTTTGAATGTTAATACATATGTAAGTGTTATTCTTGAACGTTCCTTACGCTCAAATGAAGGTCATATTGGTGTTAATGAGAGTTTATTCACCATAGTGAAAGAAATTTGGACACAAATCAATGTTTATTTTCTGTAAATGAACAGCAAAAGGTGTATTAAAGTAATCAATATTCATGTTAGTTTACTGATTAGCTAAAGCTGGAACTCTAGTTCGCAGTAACTTGTGTTTACCAGGCTATCTTTCCTTTTTAAGATAAACTCTTGTCCCCAGTTCTGGAACTAGCTGTATTTATACGTAAAGACAAGAAAATAAAATAAAACTGAATTGAGTTGAAACTAATAACATCATGAACAGCTTGTAGCTTCAAACAAGTAGCTATGTAGGATCTATTGTTCATAATTGTCCACTCACTTAAATGCAGTAAGACAAAGAACAAAGCTTAAATAAATTATCATCACCATTGTATTGAGCTGACGCTTACATGTGCTAAGTTTGGCTTTTCTAAAAATTATTTCCAGGGACATATATGGTAGTTGACTTCATAGGATCCTTTAGCATTGCAACGTAGAAGCCGATATAGGTAAATAAGTTGGTGGAAATCTCGGCTGGTTGAAATGTTAGAAGAACGAGACACCACGCAATGCTTTGGGAAAATATCATGGTTCTTTACTGGAAAACGTTTCAAGGATAGTTCGTGGTCATGGATCGTGTGTGTTTCAGCGGGGGTTTGTAATTCTGTTAACCTTGGCATGGTTCTCAGCTTTGGTGTGTTGTTCCCGGTTTTGATGGACTACTTTGACGAGACCAGGGAGAGAACAGGTTAGTGAAGTTAGTCTTGTAGCTGTGTTGTCGACAAGCGGGAAGTCTTTGCAAATTGTACAGTCGTACAAGTGTATCATATGTGCCGGTAGTCGAGTTCAATGCTNGAGACAACGAATTTTATTTCAACCAAAATGAAAATACATTTACAGTCAATGAATGTCAAATGAAGGTATTATCTTTTGATGATTTTGAATGTTAATACATATGTAAATGTTATTCTTGAACGTTCCTTACGCTCAAATGAAGGTCATATTGGTGTTAATGAGAGTTTATTCACCATAATGAAAGAAATTTGGGCACAAATGAATGTTTATTTTCTGTAAATGAACAGCAAAAGGTGTACTTCCAGATTCCTTTGAAGGTGCCTAACATCCAGCGAAGGACTGGTGACGAGTGAACTCAGAGAACACTAGTTGCTAGGAGATAAGGATCCCAAGAGACGCGGGCGCAGAAATTACCATAAAATCCTTGAAGTGAAGAAGCATTCGGACGGCAAGGATGTGATCACGAAAAGTTCGACTTCTCCATGGTTTCGCCGTTAGATTTCTTGCTTTGGAGGTGACTCCAAAGCTTGTTCATGGCACAGGGCAGGGAAAGGAATAACTTTGTCCCACGGACCTGTGTTTCTCCGCTTTGGAAAGATTCAACTTCGAGCAATGTGGTTACGTTAAGAATGCGGCCTCCTCAAACTCCATTTACTTCACTCGATACCTTCATGGCAGCTCACAGCCCTCGCCGATTTTGTCAAGCAAGACAGAAATACGTTTTAAGTGAGTATAATACCTTCATTTCGGCTCAGCTATTCCTCATCTACTTTAGATCGCGAGAAAATGTCATAAAAATATAGCTTAATTTGAACCGGAATCTCGTTATTTTATGAGCGAGAAGATTATGACATGTTTGTTTTTTCTATTTACATGCAGAACCTCTGACTGTGGATAAAAGAATTACAGATACTGGATTTGTACCTGTCCAACAAAAGAAAAGAAATGACTCGAGGTGAGTTATTCGCCGGATGGAAGCGACTAGAAGGTTTTTCACGCACGACACCCTACTGGAGTGGTGCAAAAACATCCGCGAAGCATTTTATTGTCAGAAGACAAATATAATACTTAAAAGCTTAAGTTTTCACACGACAAGGACCGGCTAAGAAATTTGTTTATTACTCTTGCTTCCGTTTGTCGTTCGATCATCGTTTTGGCTTGTTAAAACGTTAATGATCGTCGTTCTTTCGTTCAATTTATCTGCAAAAAGTTACCAAGTTTTTTGTAAGCCGATATTCATGGGTCTCCCGGCGTTGCACAATTAGTGTGATTATGAAAGCTTAAATATGTACATCGGTCTAAAATTATTACCACACTGACTCAAAAAAAAGTTACAGAAAAGTCATAGCACTAACCGCATAATACATCAGACGTAAATTAAAAACAGATATAACCACCAATTAACTTAATTTTGTTCTTCTGTCAGCACGTCCATGTTGATTGAGAACAAAGAGTTCCCCGTAATTACTGCTCAGCTTGAATAGACTTTTTTTTTTGACACCTAATTTGTGGCCAGAGTAGGTTCCATCCAAATTTTTACAAGTGAAATAACAGTATTTACTTCACTTTAGGCTGCCTCAATATTAAATCTTTAATTAAATGTCACTATGAAACCAAATAAAGATAAAATTTTAATTATAGATTGATTTAATGTTTGGTTAGCAACTGAAGAATGTACATAGTCATTGACACTAATGAGCCTCATTATTTTACGGTAAGATGTCAAAAGATGTAGCAGAGGGATGAAATTTGGAATAGCCAGGGAAATCCTTGCCTCCATGCTCTTAATTATGCTTTTTTTTTAATGAAACTGCTTCTTAACAAGTCTGGTACATGTAGATTATGATTGCACCTTTCAGTCGGAGTGCACATGTAGAATGGTATTTTAATTATACTTTCAACAAAATCGATTTTTTTTTTCTTGGCTATGTAGCACATAAGGTTGTGCAGAATATAGTACAAAACACATTTGGGTTAATTATTTTATTAGATTAAATGAGTTGCTTGTTAAAGCATTTTACAAGAGAGTAAATCGACGTTTCAATGCATCAAGCATACTTGAATGTACTCAATTTCAAAGTCAACTCATAAATAACAACTTTGACATTAGCATTAAGGACCTCAGTCTTGATTAACAACCTCAGTCTTGAGAATGATGCTTGATGCATCAAAACATCTATTGACAATACTTTTATCTTTTGTGTCAAATTATTTTATTGTGATGCAGTTGAGGCTCTTTAATACATGTGTGCTGTGTCGGTGATATATGATTCATTGATCCAATAAATTTATGCATTTATTGTGAACTTCCTATTAGTTCTTTTTTGTGATCAATAAATTAGGCCTAGATTTAAAGGTATATAGGAGACCCTTGTCGACACCCTTTATTCATCCATAGATAAAACTACCCAAAGAACATTGGATCCTACTGGGCCCTACTCTCCCCAACACACTCCCTAGGTATTTACAATCCCTAATTTGTTGATTTCCTTTATTCTTGACATCTGTCTGCTTGACAAGGTTAAGGGGTATTGTAAAGTGATTTATAAGTTGACCAATCTTGGGAAAGGAATTGCGGGGTGTTACTGTCAGTGTTGTCATGCATCTGTTCAGTAACGGATGCCAAATATAACTTCAAAATGTGGTAAGATTAAACAAGTGGCACACAGGTTGTTAGGGCAATCTTGAGTGACAGTGAAGTTACTTACCACATTTTGATGTCTTCTGTTATCTATTGCTGAACAGATGCACATCAACACAGAATCTACTCATCGTGTTTCACATAAAATAATAAAGAAAAAAAAGAAGTTGTTAATGACATCATCTATATGTCTGTCCTCCAATAAATCAGAAGCAAAAACCAATCAAAATGTGAGAATAATCCGACTTATATAACTATTTGTTTATTACATTGACATTTGATGGGAGGCGCAATGGTGTCGTAGTTAGCACACTTATCTCCAGATCAAGCTGTCTGGGTTTAAGCCCTGGCCGGGGACATTGTGTTGTGTTCTTGGCGGAGACCCTCTACTCTCACAGTGCCTCTCTCCACCCAGGTGTATAAATAGGTACTGGCAACATTAATGCTGGGGTAGCTTTGCGATGGACTAGCATCCCATCCAGGGGGGAGTAGAAAAACTCCTAGTGGCTTCTTGCTACAGAAACCAGAATAAGCTCTGGCCTGATGGGCCACTTGGCTCGTATGTAGACTTAACCTTACCTTGACATTTGATCTTTGTTGTCTCGCCAGTGATGCAAGAACTAACAGTGTTCATCAACGGCAAAGTCACCAACGTGTAACCCACAGAAGTCCACCCAGTAATACATACACAACAACTGATAGCAGCAGTGAAGGAGAAGTCAACACCCAACGAGTTTTGGCACTGGGAAAATGTAAACTAAACAATGAAGACCTAGTTGCTAGTGACGCCTCATCTGAGTTGTACAGGAGTAGCTTCTTTCGGCCAGGGCCTAAGATTCCAATGACATTTAATCGCAGCACATCAATACCCACAATGCCTCGTAGCACTGCCGATCTCATTGCTATTGGAACAATACCAATAACATCTCAGCGGCAGACTCCAGTTAAACCTATGTCCAGGTAAGGGTATAGAAAATAGTTACTGCGATAATGAATAAACAAGTACAAACTCATGCCTTTAGGGGAGCTACGCCCAGTTTGTGTTTTTGAAACATTTAGCCTAAATTTTTGAAGGTCTTCATTTGTAATCCAGGTTAACCTTCTCCATCCTCAACCATCCTTGTTCCATTACGGTTTATTATTACCTCTTTGGTGTTTTCCTATCTTAGTAAACTATTATTTTCAGGATTCCTCCGATTAAACGGTAATTTTGTACATGGCAAAAATAGTTCAAAATACCATGACTGAGCTCCTTTAAGACAGTGACAACAAGGTGAAAAATCCCCAGTATATCCTAGGGTATGACCCACATTTTTTATCATTATTGAATTGTGATAACGTTTTGCAAAGTTAAGAGGTTTTTTTAACATGTTGTACTGTTTCTGTGGTAACCTATTATGCCATGAAAGTAATCGCAACTTAATCGCCAATGATTTGGCATTTGTGTCACATAATATTTGTAGCACCACTTGATAAAGAGTGGTGTAATTCAATCCATCAAAGTTTAACTGCTGGAAAGTACTGGAAACTGTTAGTAGCCACCTTAAAAGTAATTTACAGCCCTACTTACTCTGATGTCTCTGCAGTCCAATGGTCAATATTTGCCTAGACCCAGTACAGTTGAACCCCACTATCTCGAACTCTCATGGGAAACCAAAAATAGTTCGAAATAGCGGGAGTTCGAAATAGCTGATAGTAAATGACTAAAGGGCAGATCCAAGGAAAATGATTATGAGTTCAAAATAACAGGGAATTCAAAATAACCAAGTTTGAATTGGCCAGATCCAACTGTATTTTCCTGACTTTGTCAACAATGCTTCCCATACTCCCTTTATCACTAGTATTGTTCAGGTAGGAATGTTTCAAGAATCCAAACCTCATGCAACGAAACGCTTCACTGGGCATTTTTAATACCAAATTTAATTCCAAGAAAATGGATTGTGTGGTTCCAGAAAATATCCATACCTTACCCACCAAAGGGATTTTTCTAGGATCCCCTGACCCCTCCAGAAATTCCAAATGAATTAAGCTTCATGCATTTCTTTAAATGTTTTGGTCTTGCAGAACCCCCACCCCCAGGAAATTCCAATCCCTTCTGTGGGGGCAGTATGGATATTTTCTTGAACTGTACATTATGAAGAATGGGGATTTCCTTAGCTCAGTATATATCCTATCATGAGATTATATTTTTCAATGCTATTGCAGTTTAGGGATAACTTCAAGTTGTACAGACCAAGATCAACTTATAAAATCAACTAAAAAGGAAAAGAATAACAGGGATCTTCTGTTAGTTGACACTGAGACTTATATAATATTGAACTATGTTCTACTCACATACACTGTACCCTTACTCAATTAATAACACATGCACCAGATTTTAGAAAACGTATGTATCTTTGTGTAACCTGATGCAAACATTAGAATGGGTATAGGAGACGTCAGAAGTTTGTGAATTGAAGCTATAAGCAAGGCTTTCATGTTTTCCAAAAAGTACTCAATTAATTTGGGCTGAACAAAAATAAAACTTACTTAACAAACACATGTACAACTACATGATTGAATCTTTTCTCAGCTATGCTTGAAGTATTAAACTCTTCTGTTAGCTCTGGTTAATACTGTTGCCATGACATTAAAATTTTGTTGTATATTCTGCTCGGTTTTAAAATGTGTGATAAATAACATTTTGAGATCAGATATATCTCATTGCCTATTAACATAAAACATATTTTTATGCTTTAAACAATTTTCTTTGAAACTTATTATGCAATTCATAGTCTTTAAATAATATTGTGAATGTGTAATTAACTTTTCAGATCTTCATCTGAGGAAGATATTCAACTCATGCCCAAGACAAAAACTGGAGGACTGTTAGTTTCAATTTCTATATTTAACTTTCTTCAGTAATATTTAAACAAAATATATCAAACAAATGATAAATTAAAGCAAAGGAAAATCATCAGTTGAGAATCATATTAACTATAAAGATTCTTGTTTAAACATTCTTTTCAGTGCAATCCCTATTTTTCGAACCCTTGATTATTTGAACCTCTCGATTATTCAAAGCAATTTTTACTTCCCTTAGCAAAAATAGGAGAAAGTGACCCTCAATTTTGTGAACCTGTCCTCCAATTTTCCAAGCCCATTTCCATTGCATGGTTTGAAAAATCGGGATTCCACTGTATTTCTTTTCTTTAAAATATTATTTTAACAATAAATTAAATTTAGTTTTGTAAACTGCCCTCCTTTTCCTGAGTAAAGTATGCAGTGTTGCCCAAAGTAATACAATCTACCTTAAAGACCACCATTAATATTATTAAAACAATAATTTGAACATAAATCTTCCCAAAAAGAATTACTGGCAATAATTTTTGTTAAAAATAAATTCAAGATTAAAGAGAAGATAATTCCTTACATTATCTTAAACAAACTCACAATCCTCAAATTCCATTTAACAAAAATGCGTTTTCTCCCGCTTTGTTGTTTAGGTGGAAAACAAAAGCAACATTAAATCTCAAAGGTAAGATATGTCTAATTCTGCAAGATCATTCCAAACTTGACATCTTGTAAAAGGTAAAAGGTCAAGTCTGTGTCACGCCAGTGGCCCATCACAGCTGGAGCTTATACTGGTTCTTAAACCATGAAGCAACTATGAGTATTTTTACTCCCCCCCTGGATTGGATGCTTGTCCATCACAGAGTTACTCCCAATGGGGCTTGAAAAAAGTGCTGTAAGGTCATCTGAGAAAAGTAGATTTTCCTGCTGGGCTAGTAACTTGTCATTCTCACTTGCCCAATGGGCAAAGCCCAACTAAATATAAAAAGTATAATTAAGACTTTGCCAGCCAATGGCAAGCACAATTTGACAGCTGCTTGTCTGAAACGCAAGCTTGAATTCAAGTTTTTCTCAAGCCCTGGTCCTCATCTTCCTCGCCAGTACCCATTAACACACCTGGGTGGCAAGAGGCACTGTGAGAGTAAACTGTCTTGCCAAAAAAACACAAGGCAATGATCCTGGCCAGGGTTTGAACACAGGCCACTCAATCCATGGTCCAACGCACTTGTTGCCTTTGGTTGCATGCATGACTACTGAAATTTTCATTACTTACAGTGGAACCCTGTTAATCCGATCACCAACAGGCCCCAAAAATGTGGCCTTATTAATGGAGTGGTCATATTAAAGGGGTGCTTTAAATAATGAAATGACTGACTAAGCTTTTGTTTGGACAAGAATAAAGTGGCCATAATAACGAGGTGGCTGTATTAATGGGGTGGCCGTAAGACGGGGTTTCACTGTACTTACATTTATATATTTCTGCACTTTGTTCATCAGGATGTAAATATCCAGATCCCATGATTGGAGCAAGCCCTTCCTTCCAGGCAAGAATCACAGAAATGGCCCAGCTGGAGGTAGAAACAATAAAATTTGAGAAGACAAAAAAGACGAGGAAAAAGGCTTCAAGTTCCTAGCTAAAACAGATTACATTAATTTACAAACTGCTATTTAATAGCTAGTTAAAGGTTTTTCCAATTTAAATTATGTTGCAAAAAGTGCAACCTCATTGTTTTTAGTTCCTTTCAATTTATTGTGTATTTCTTTGAAATTCACACAAAAATTTGTATAATTCTACAGCCAAATATGCAAGAGAGTGGGGAAAAACATTTTCACCCACATTTTTAAATAAGCAAGCAGTGTATAAATTGTACAAACCACATATTGTTTTGTGTACATAAATGTATATATTAAATAATTTCTTCAGTTGTGAAAAAAAAAATTTTTTTTCAAATAGAATTTTATTGGAACATTATTTAACTTTATTTGTTTAAGTCCTTAAAGGAGCTCAGTCACGGTTTGCGCATATTGAAAAGTTTAGCCTCAATTTTTCAAATTCGTTGTTTGTAATCCATTTTAATCTTCCCCATCCTTAGCCATCCTTGTTCCTTTATGTTTTATCATGATGTCTTTGGTGTTTTTCTATCTTATTAAACTGTTATTTTCAGGTTTCCTACCATTGAAAGGTAATTTTGTATGTGGCCAAAATAACTCAAAGTACCGTGACTGAGCTCCTTCAAAAAGATCAACAGCAATTTTTTTTTTCAAAATATCAAATGAATGCACCACTGAATGCCATATTTGGAAAAATTCTCTCCACAAATTCCATGAAAAGTTACATGGACTAATGTGAAGAAGATTCATATCGACATCAGGACCAAAAGGATTAAAACATTGAGAGTTTTGGGTCAAAAATGTCCTTCAAGATACCTATTTACGTTTTGCTGCTAATTAACCCAAAATTTCAAATAAACAAAAACTTAACATCAACAAAATTTTTATGCCATCTGAAATCTTCCTTGGGAATGACATTTAAAATCAGGAGTGGAGTTGCAATGCCACAGTACAAAAATCCAACAAGTTCAAGATCACCTCACAAAGTACTTCATGTAAGAACACACAACAGTATACAAGTGCATGGATTCATTTTACACCCACTATTACTTCATGAGACTTTTGATGTGCAAACCCCAACCAGTAAAAGTCTTTGATATGGGTCAATATATTTTTTTTAATTATGTCAACTAAGATCATTGACTTTAAATAAATTATGTGATCAATTATTATTTTAACAACCTTACAATGAATAATAATTAATACTACAATCGGAAGAGTGCTAGAGTAGTTGAAGTATAGCATTATCAGTTTTTCTTTTTTTTTTATCAGACTTTGGCAGTTGGAGTGTAGCATCGTCAGTTTTTTATCAAACTTAGGCAGTGCTCCATCTTCTTGGTAAACTTCAGTGTTATTTAACTGTATAGGAACAAGTTTAATATTACCATTTAATCATGGTGAAGGTGTCAAAAATAAAATAATAATGTCATACCAATCTGTCGTCACTATAGTATGTAATGTTGAAATGATTCATGTATAATTTCTCCTTACATTAATATAAGAACATTGCCAGGCTGAAAGGTGAGTAGAATTAAAAATATCATCACCTTCATGAAAATTATGCAAATGAAGAAAACTGTAATGCAAGTGTACATCACAATCGTGAAAGTTTCCAAAGTTGGCATTAACAATAAATTAATTTATTTCAACTTGACTGACTAAGGAAGGGCACCATTGAGATCCATAAACTTTTGACGTGATTTGAGAGATTTGGAATTGAAAAGACTTGGCACAGTTCTTTTTCCTTTTTAACAGGGAAAGAACTGTAAAAGCTATAAAAGTCACGTTATTTGCTTCATTTGTAATGCACAGAAACTACAGTTGCATTTGTTGTTTTAAAGGCAGTGTGCAAGGTCAAATTGTTAACATGGGAAACAAATTACTTTAAATTCCTGTTTACTTAACTTCACCGCAAAGAGGAGTTAGAAACTTGGATAAATGACATTTCCACATGATGAGCGCAAAGTTGACTCCCCCCACCCCCCCTCCCCCCCCCAAAAAAAAAATTTCTCAAGAAGAGCGTGCAATTGTTTTACCGTCATTTTCCGAATTTTCTGCACGTAGATTTTGACCTGGAAAAAATTGCAACGGAATGAGAAAAGAAAAGCAACGGAACATTCATTCGCTAGAGCCGCGTGCATTTCCTCCTTTCCATTATCAGGGGTGATAGTTTTCCAAAAACAGTGTTGCTCTTGAACCACCTTCCCGGCCAACCGGAGATAACAGTTGTTGTTCTCTCTGATCAGTTAATTAGACGCTTTACTTCTTTTTTTTTTCTTAATCCTGCGTTTTGCCATCATTTGCAGCCAAGACTTATTTTAAAAAAAAAACCTGACCAAGCTCTTTGACGAATGTGTAGTTAAAAGACGTAAACTTGATACAAGTCCCACTATTGCGTTTCAAATTCGACTCGTGCGCACGTGATGTACCATCGTTGCGCGCAGGCCCGTAGCAAGCATAAAATGACTGGGGGTGCTGAGCGAGTGGCCCCTATAAACTCCACCCCTGCTTCGGTCCCTCGGTTAAAGCATACTTCTTGGTACATGTCAGATCACTACATTTGTCTACAATACCTTTTGTTCTTGTCTCTAATTTTCCGTTTGTGTTGACTTTGATGAAATAGAGAACTTGTTTGGGATATCGTTCGCGGAAAATTTGTCAAACAATATGCTTTCGGTTTTGTTTCTCCCCAACGAAGTCATTGGCTACGTCCACAAGGGTCAGAGCATCTGTTCTGTCCCTGTGAACATGTGAGACTTTCACTCTAGTACAGTAGTATATTTTACACTGGCGGACTTCTTAGGAAACCAATAAAGTTCAAGAGGTCAAGTTTAGGGATTGTCATTGGTGCATTTTGATCCATCTTGCTTCTGTCTATTTTGATGAAAAATAAGCAGATATTTTAAAGCTGTTGGTTGTTTTTGGCAGAGCAAAAATACGATTTTGTTCCTTTACGCAATTCCAAATTGCACAGAAGAACAACAGTACATAATCTTACTATGATCGACAATACTTTGAAACTGTAACATCCATTGACAACTATCCATTTTAGTGGCAAAGTTCCACTTTTGTGGCAGAAATTAAGTCAAGTCTGAAAATTTCTGGGGGGGGCTCGAGCCCCCCCTGCCCCTCCCCCTGCTACGGGCCTGGCGCGTTACGCTCACGCAAATGTCCCTTACTCAGAAGAAGAAACTAGCCCTTGAGTTTTGCGCAAAGCACATAGAAGTCATTGTGTTCGTTCAGAAAGCATAAAAGACTATTCGTCATAACAATTAAAACGATTAACTTCAAAACAAATGTAGGTCACTTGATGCAAGTTGGAAAACTTCCCCACTGCTACAAACTGTGGTGTAAGGCCGCGCGAAGTATCACTGGCTTTCTATTGAAAGATTTAACACCATCAGACGCATCGCCACGAAATGTTTCGAGCTTCTCTAAATTTGTTTACCCCGTAATTACCCCAGAACGAGCAAGAGATTCTCACGCAAACTGAAGTGGCCAGCCAGTGGCCAATTGTTTAGAGAGGAGGTGCACTCTAATTTTCACAGCGGGACCTGCAGGCTCATTATAATTCCATTAGCGGTTCATTTGATTTTGTATTCATAACACATGTTTCTGTCGTTTCTTGGAGAACTTTACGGGTTGAATGTGACGGGAAGACTCCCTAATCAGCTGTCCTTTCATTCCTTGTGGAAAACATAAAAACAAGCAGGATGACTAAGCTAATAATATCAAAAAAAGTGGTACTGTTCTCTAATAAAATGTTCTTGAAGCTTTAATAAGAAGTCATCAGTTTCACCTTTCTTATGGACTATAGCGCTCTAGTCGAATTTCACAACCAGCTAAAATTCTCACTAGACTCGACGAGAGCTTGTGCTTGTTTGACAAGCAGAATATGTCAACTCTTTCCAGCGTAGGCTGTCCATTTAAGTAATTCGACCACACTTCATATAGAGAAATGGCTTTAAAACCCGGAAAACTTGAAAAGAGCAAAGAAAGATGCAAAGATCTAGGCTTCGGGTTCACGCCCATTGCACGATGATCCGCGCTGATGGCAGTCGAGGATAGTCCGTTATCAGTGGTTAATGGTCGAAGAAAACTTACTACCGTTGCCGTAATCTCCTAAACAGCTGAAAAGAACTGAAGTCTGAACCCATGAAAAGATATCAGGACAAAGGAATTCAACATCGACAACTTAGGGAAACTCTAATTGTTACCCAATATACCCTTTGTTAACTCGACACATTAAAGCCGCTAGGCGTCTGATATTTGACTTCGAGTAAAAATAAAGTATGGAAGTATACGATGACAACTTTGCTGAACAAGCAGCAACGCTATGCGCTCTACTGTAAGAAATGAAGCATGGAAGCAAATGACTGAATTCGCCATTTTCCTTATTTAACAACGCAATGGACCTATCATAGTTTCATCAAAGTAGGAGTGATGTTCTTTTAGCAGTGATATCGCACTTTTTAACAACAAGGGACTGAGTCACCGGTATGTTAGCTTTAAAGTAAAAAGTTGGACAAATTTGTAACGTGAAATGAAAGCGTAACAATAGCTCTCCCTTGAGAAAAGCAAAGGAAGAAACAAACCCTTTAACGAAAGCCGACTGTTTTTAATTGAATGACACTTTGCATAAGGAAGGCAGTCGCTAAAGTAAAACAAAGCTTTATACTGAAGTGGTATTTTAAGACTCTCACAGATGCTATCAAAGTCTTATTCTCCTCGCAATTTTGACACATTGTCAGTAGGCAGGTGATGAGAAAAAAGAAAATCATCAACTAGAGCGTGTATAATCTTGATCGATAACCTAATTCTCTGAACTGTCTTTAAAAAAAATGTATGAAATTTCCGTATGGAGAATTGTTTGTTTGAGCTTGGGACTGTAAGGATTTTAAATTCTCGTTGTAGAGCTCTCCGCCAGTGAGTGGCACAAAAGCAAACAAGACTCTTTTTTGCTTTTGATGCCGCAAGATAAACTTAAATGAGCTTATATTAGTCACGGTTTGGGCATCTTGAAAAGTTCAACCTAAATTATTCTAGTTCGTTGTTTTTAATCCGTGTTAATCTTCTCCATCCTTAACCATCCTTGTTCCTTTATAGTTTATTATTATCTCTTTGGTGTTTTCCTATCTGTGTAAACTGCTATTTTCGGGTTTCCTTCAATTTATAAAGGTAATTTTGCAAGTGGCCAAAATAACTCAAAATATCGTGACCGAGCTTCTTTATGTTCGAGAAACGAATGCTCGAAAAACCCCGCACCCTTACAAGTGAGTTCGAATCAAGGTAAAAAGGTTGCACATGCAAACATGTACAGGTGTCAGAGTTCTAAAACCTGAACAAGCAACCAGCATGAAC